CTAACTACTACAGGCAGGAGAAGGCAAAGGGGCAATTAAAGACAGAAGATGAGAGAGGAAATGGCTTCATTTTCTTCTGTTGACTTGTGACTCTTAAGGAGATGGAATAGCCTATTCCTTCTGCATGCAAAATGGTATAGGAAGTCTATGCAGGCACTGGATGCTTGGAAAGTCCCTACTCTTTCCAACTTGCGCTGATTTGGAGAATTTTTTTAAAATGCTTTTCTTTGGACACTTTAATAAAGAGGTGCTGGCACTTATAAACTCAGTTCCAAGGTTTACCTCAATGGACAATTATTGTTGAAGCATTACGGGCATAACACCCATCTGCAAAAATTTGATCCTTGAAGCCTGATCTTATGTTTATTTTGAATCATATCCCATTCATTCAGTAGGATTTCCTCCAAATCATATAGATCTGCACCTAGATTTCATATTGGTGTGGACCCTGAAGTAAGTTTCCACTAACAGTTGGGACAGCTTTTACCAATTCCCCCCCACACACACACTACAGACTTCCCCCTCATACAGTTCCTGGGAGGGGGTGCTGTCCCCCAGGAGAAGGCTGAATGTAGAGGAGGGAAGAAGGAATGTCTGGTTCCACTGACAGAAAAGCCTTCTATTAGTGGAGATTTACCACAGGATCCAAGCTGTATGAGAGAGCACTTCATAATGTCACTGCTGGTCTTTTGTATGATGTTAACTGGCTAAGCTTTGTAAATAGTGAATTAAGAGAAAGTTCTGAAACCTCTTGTTCATAAACTAGTCCCATTGGTTGTTTAAAGCAAACACACAAAAAACCACTATACCTCTTTTGGCAGGTTATCATTTTGCAGAAAAACAAACCAGACATCCTTTCATTCTTGTAAATACTACTGTAAATGTATGAACCATGTGCAGTCTTCCCTTTTCCTGACAGCAAGTTCTCTTTCATGTAAAACAGTATTTCAAGACTGTGGTTTAATTCCAAAGAGGTCATTGTCCTTGAAGCCTGCTTTGCATGTACATCAACCAAATGTATCCTGAATTGTTAAAAATGAAGACGAAAAGGGAAGTGCAGAAGGTCCACTTTCCCTCATCCCTGCGGCACTATGGCACGACAGGCTACCTCTTAAAGGTAGTAGAGCTCTGCGTGTGCATTCTGGTCACTACAAGGATCACCAGCTCTGGGTGGGGAAATTCCTGAAGATTTAGGGGAATGGGGAACCACAGCTGGGTATAATTGCCATGGAGTCCACCTTCCAAAACGGCCATTTTGTCCAGGGGAACTGGCTGCTGTGGTCTGAAGCTCAGATGTACTTTTGGGAGACCTGCAGGCTCCACCTGGAGGTCAGCAACCCTATTCCCTACACTTGTCTGTATACAGGTATCCATAATGCAGAGGAGCTTGCAGAGATATTAGCTGTTTTATATATATGAGCTATCTTACTGAAGCTGAGTAGTCATTTTGTGTATAATGGGGCACAAGGGTGTCCTCCAAACTTTACAGCACATACACAATATACTGTGGTGCCAGGGGGTGGGTGGGAATATGAAGCAGTCATCTACCTTAGATGCAGATAAATGAGTCATGGAAGTAGCCTGGAATAAAGAAGGAAATTTGTATGCTCAGCATAACTTTTCATCTCATTTTGAACTGTAGAAAAACTCTGTGGTATTTAGATTTCAGTATAAGGACTGAAAAATAAATGCAAGGCCTGCAGAGGATACAATTGTCTATATAAAAAGCACTTTGAGACATGCCTCACTCTCTTGCAAACTATTTTCTTCCCCAAACAGCATCTCCTCTCTAGTATGCAACCTCCTCACAGATGGTGTTATTGCATGTTTTAAAAGGTGTTGGCATCAGTTTCTGTGTATGTCCTGTCTCTTGGCCCTCCAGGGCAACTGCCAGGCCACTGTGTGAAACAAGATGCTGGTCTAGATGAACCACTGGTCTGATCCAAAAGAGCTCTTCTTATGTATGTGCAAACTGGACTTATACCTGCTATATAGTACCATTAAAAAATCTTTGCTAATCTGGAACACAGTATTTTGTAGAGTGCTAATGACTGAAAAAGCCACAGTACCTTTACCTGTAAATGACAACTGATAATATATGGCTGTGTCAGATGATGGAAAGAAAACACTAAATAAGGGGTTCGATCCATCCTGTCTGCTCTGTGAAGGAGACATCTGCTGATGCAAGCGTCATCAATGCAAGGCTCCTTGTGCCAGAGGAAAGGACAGCTGTTAGTAGACTGGATCTGCAAGAGTCAACCCAATGTGCAGCATATTCCAAATTACTAAAAATGCAAGGGTTTGCTAATAATTGTAATCCAAAGAAAGGCTGCAAATGGGGGGGAAAAAAAGGTGTGTGCATACCAGAAGAGCTATGCACTCTGCTCTGACATACGGAACAAAATAATACTGACAGCCATAACATCCATATTGAGGTTGGCAGTCCTTAGCAAATGTTTGTAAAAGGTCTGGTCCTGCGAGTCAGTTATCAACACAAACTTAATCCCCCCCAGACATTGAACTTTAAGTATATCACTATTCCCCATTCCAATCAAACAGGTGTTTTATGTATTACTGGGCATGTGATCAGGTTCAAACCCCAGCGGCTTGCCTTTGGTAGTATTAAATAGCCACAGGGATTTGAGTATAGTCACAGACTACGATAGCCAGCATAGCACAAAAATAATACATTGTACAGCTGGTTTTAAACAGAACTCCAAAGGAATCATTAACTTACCCCATGTAAATTATCAACATAGCCTGCAATATGCCTGTAGGGTGGCAATACTAACTATATGCACAATTTCAACTCACAGGAGGAAGTTCCATTTACAGAAATGTCTTCAAATACATCTCTTTGCTTCCAGGACCAAATTATATATTTTCGAACATTCAGAACTTTTAAATTGCTAGGCTTGCATCAAAAAACACATGGCCCCCCAATTATTTGCTTTTGGGGCAGAATAAGCAAATTTGGCATTGTGATGCATAATTCTTTTAAAAACTGAGTTCCTGATAACTACTGCCCAGTTTGAAATTAGAACTTGCCATGATATGGAGCACCAAAGCACAACAGCATGGAATTAATCCCCATTATTGGAGTTATGTGGGATCAATCCATGGAGACTCAGCAGCCATGAATCCATGGTTTCGCTAGATGCATCTATGTGTATGCTGTACCATTAGTTAACAAGCCTTGTGAGCAGAAGAATGTAGCCTAATGGAGAGCCATTTTTCAGATATAAAACAGGTATGTGCTGGTATGGCTGCCTTACTTTATATAATATACATATACTAAAGTAACTGGAATATAGATCATTTTGTGCTTTCTACCAAGTTCAACTCCCATTTCATTGTTTAACTATGGGACAGTCCTTGCTCCTTTACAGAAGGGCTTGAGAAGGGCTAGAAGGAAGCAGAAACACAGAAGCACATAAAACCATTTCCATTTTTAAGAAATCTAGTTTGTAGTTGAGCTTTGGATAGATGTCTGATGATGGAAACCGTCTGGAAGCAGCAATGCAAAGACACTTAACTACATTAGACAAATTAAGGAAAGAATTAGTAGGCACATAGATGAATAAAACCTATTGAGGCAGACTCAGCATGGGTTCTGTAAGGGAAGATGTCTCACTAACCTGTTAATGTTCTTTGAGGGGGTGAACAAACATGTGGACAAGGGGGATCCAATAGATATTGTTTACCTTGACTTCCAGAAAGCTTTTGATAAAGTTCCTCATCAAAGGCTCCTAAGTAAGCTCAAAAATCATGGGATAAAAGGACAAGTCCTTTTATGGATCAAAAACTGGCTAATTAATAGAAAACAGAGAGTGAGTATAAATGGGCAGTTCTCCCAGTGGAGGGGGGTAAGCAGTGGGGTACCACAGGGATCAGTACTTGGTCCACTGCTTTTTAACTTGTTCATTAATGATTTGGAGTTGGGAGTAAGCAGTGAAGTGGCTAAATCTGCGGATGATACGAAGTTGTTCAGGGTGGTGAAAACCAGTGAGGATTGTGAGGCACTCCAAAGGGATCTGTCAAAGTTGGGCGAGTGGGCGTCAACATGGCAAATGGGGTTCAATGTGGCCAAGTGCAAGGTGATGCACATTGGAGCCAAAAATCCTAAATATAAATACACATTGATGGGGTCTGAACTGGCAGAGACAGATCAAGAGAGAGATCTTGGAGTTGTAGTAGATAACTCACTGAAAATGTCGAGACAGTGTGTGACTGCAATAAAGAAGGCCAATGCTATGCTGGGGATTATTAGGAAGGGTATTGAAAACAGATCAGCCAATATAATAATGCCCCTATATAAATCAATGGTGAGACCTCATTTGGAATACTGTGTGCAGTTCTGGGCACCACACCTTAAAAAGGATATTATAGCTTTGGAAAAAGTGCAGAAAAGGGCAACTCGAATGATAAAAGGGTTGGAACACTTTCCCTATGAGGAAAGGTTAAAGCGCTTAGGGCTCTTTAGCTTGGAGAAAAGACGACTGAGGGGTGACATGATCGAGGTTTATAAGATTATGCATGGGAAAGAGCAGGTAGAGAAAGAGGTACTTTTCTCCCTTTCTCACAATACAAGAACCCGTGGGCACTCCATGAAATTGCTGAGCGGTCGGGTTAGAACGGATAAAAGGAAGTACTTCTTCACCCAAAGAGTGATTAACACATGGAATTCACTGCCACAGGAAGTGGTGGGTGCTACAAGCATGGACGGCTTCAAAAGGGAATTAGATAAGCATATGGAGCAGAGGTCCATCAGTGGCTATTAGCCACAAGGTATAGCTAGGGGCTCTGGGGCAAGTGATGCTCTGTCTTCTTGGTGCTTGGGGGGGGGTCAACAGTGGGAGGGCTTCTAATGTCCTGGCCTCACTGGTGGACCTCCTGATGGCACTGGTATTTCTGGCCACTGTGTGATACAGAGTG